GTATGCATACACAAATGCATACGCACGTCAAGTCCACGCCTCCTCCGTCAGACTGAGCCCGCCCACGGACGCCTCGTCGTGCCTCGGACCTCCGCTTTTGTCTCGGTTGCATCGGCATTGCTCCACCGTGGTCACGGACGCGGCGCCCCTTCGCCGCTACTACGCCGTCAGCCGGTGCCGCCGCCGCCGCCCTCCTCGTCCTCGTCCATCCACCACATCCCTCGTAGCGTGGCCGCCATCGCCGCATGTCATCGAGGTCATAGAAGACATCGTCCTCGAGCTAGAGCCGGTCGCCCCACCGAAGCTCGCGCATGTCGGCTCATGCGGCGCTCAGCTTGTTCGCGCCCGCGTTGGCCCTGAGGCCTGGCAGCAACGCGGCGACGTCCATGAGCACGCAGCACGCGCCACCGAGGCGGGCTACGACCGCGACGCCTGGGAGTCCGCGGCGAGGTGGGTGGGAGTCCTCGACAAAGGGGAGGAGGCCCACAGCCATGAGCCGGTGAGGACGTGGCTGGTAGCCAGGTCGCTTGTGCCGTCGCGCTCCACCACGGCCAGCGCGTGCCCGGCCACGGCTACGTGCGGGACCATCCCCGCGCGCGCTGGCTGCCTACGTGCGTTCCGCCCATCTTATCTGGTTGCCGCCAGAGGCTCTACTCGAGTTGAGGTCACTGGCCAACGGCGAGGCGAGCGCGGCGTGGCTCTCCGACTTCTTCGACGTGGCGGCGGGGTCCGGCGTGGAGGTGTCCTAGTAGTGGGGGCCACGACGACATGCGTGGTTTGCGCAGTCGATGGATGCAACAAGCAGAGAGCTGGCGGGCAGCGCGGGTGGCCAGTTCGGCGTACAGGTGAGTATGGGTCGGGAGAAGCATCCACCGCTGTCTCCAGCCCCTGTCCGCGCGTTGAGGATAATACGACCGTGCATGACCTTGGCCTCACCGGACATTGGCCTAGTGGACCTGCAGCTTTGCTAAGTCGCTCACCAGCCCCGCGTGCGCCTCCCACTTCGACGCCACGCACCGCACGTCCAGGCTAGCGTATGCCGCCTGCCAATCGTCCGTTCGCAATGCTCAGGCTCCGCGTATGAACTCGTCCGGCCAGTCACACTCGCCAGCAAGGACGTGAGACGAGGGATGCCAACATCAGGCTCTCACCGAACATGGGCAGATGCTTGCGGTGGTTCCATGCGAAGCCAGAGGACTCAATGGTGTATGTGTTGTTCGGCACGCTGGGTCATCGGCGGCATCCGACGAGTCGGAGTGGATGCCCAACGGGTTCGCGGAACTGATGGTGCGCGGCGCCGAAGCAAACCATGGGGCAGATCCCCGCGAGGAACCTGAGTGCACCGACGACGCGAAACTGAAAGCCGAGCTCGACAAGGCCAACATCTGCGTAACCACCGAAATCCATGCACTCCTACGCCATCCTTCTCGAGGGCTGCGAGGCTGCCGCCGAGCCCGCGGAGGTCAAGCTCTGATGCGGTGCGTTCGCGCAAGCGCGTCGGCGACGAGCCCGTCGGCGCGCGTCGCGTGGCCCCGCGTGAGGTGAACGAAGTCGTGGCTGCGGGGAACACGTCGTCGAGGTACCTCTACCCCACCAGGCGGCATCCTCAGCCATCTCGTGCAGTGGTGGGTGACCTGAGACCGGATCAAGCCGCTTTGAAGTCCGAGTCTGACGGGGAGTAGGAGGGTGGCCGCTTGAAGGTGCGTGGGCACTCGCGGCCATGCCGCCGCTCCGCCTCGTGTGCTGGCTGCTGCAGCCGAGCGCTCCTCCGCCACGGGCGGGGCTTATTCTAATGGAGGAGGCCAGAACTTAATGCCCATACACGTTGTCCTAGTAATGTGCCTGACAATGGACCCATGTACGAGAAAGACGTAGATAATGGCATGGATGAGTGAGAGTTTAAATTATAATGACAGTTCTCTAAATAGATGAATTATAATAGCGTGTCTGTAGACTTGAAGAATTGTAATGGCATGATAAAAAAACCCTTTTTTAAACAAGCCCCTTCTTCCTTCGCTTCGACGCCAGGCCAGTTTGGGTTGAGTTCAAAAAAAAAAAGGCCCAGTTTGGGTTGGGGTTTGGCCGTTTGGGAAGCTCCTGCGCTCTGCTACTGTTACCGAGAGGTCACTTAACTTGATTGCCCTCGGGATGCGGGCCGCGGGAAGCCATTATGTTGGCGCGTAATCCTTCTTCGACCGTTGGACGGCGCAATCTTCCTCCAACAAAGACCAAATTTCAAATACACTCCCTCCGTGTAAAAAAAATAGGAGTCTCGCTCTTCACGATTAGTCTGCCAATTTCAATCGTATCTTCGAATTAATTTATTATAAAACATATTCTATACGTAATCTATTAAGTGTATTATATGATTAATCTATTAATAATACTTAGTACATATCATAAAACATTACTACTCTTTTCATGTATATATGTTCAAACTTGAGATTCTTCAACCCTTGGAAAATGAGATTTTCGTTCCTTTTAGGGAACTGCTAAAAAAACAATTAAAAAGTCATTACAAAACATACGCGACATCCAGATGGCAACACCCAAAATAAACACACTTGTAACATGCTTCTGAAAAATAGATGGGACATTTGGAATACACGCTTGCAACATGCGTGTATAACCATTGCAACATATGCAATACATATGCAAAATCTCAATCTACTTTTGCAACATCGATGTGAAACACTTGCGACACATCTCTGAAATATCTGAAAACACTTGAAACATATGGTTGCAACATGCACTTTCAGCGCAATGTCACCTGGCTGCTTGGACGAATGGAGGCCTCGTCGTTGCGGAGCTCGCGGCGGTGGCGCATGAAGCTCGCCGGTGCCCTAGCGGAGGCCCTGCGCCACCTTGGGCAATGACGCGAGCACCCTGGCGCAAGCACAACGCCATGAACGAGCACGTGCGCGAGGCCGCAACGGGCGAGCTCGGCGGCCTGAGCACCCCCTCTTGGGCGAGCACCCTGCTAGACGAGCACCGCTGGGTAGAGAGATTTTTTTAAGGGGCGTGGATAGGAGCGAGCGGATGGCGTCGTAGCACCCTGCTAGGCGAGCACCCTGCTAAATATATAGAAAATAATATCAATATTTATATTTCTAAAATAGTCATTATAAAAATATATTCTATCATCAATTTTACGATACTTTTATCTATATTTAGTTAAATTTTAAAATATTTGACTCTACAAGGAGTAAAGTGTGCAATTATTTTACGACGGAGGGAGCAATTACTAAAGTACTACTCGTCCAGATTGTTGAGATTGGGTGGCCACCTATTTTATATTCTAATATAAAAATTACTTTTGAAACTATCAGCATATTCGTTTCAGCCTTATTCGCTCGTATCTGACTTATAATCCACGGCTTAAACAGTGTTTTTCTCTCACACCAAACCAGCCAACAGTACTTTCAGCCATGGCTTATAAGCCAATTCAACCGAAACGAACAAGCTGAATGTCACCTAAGACAATAGTATCTTTTGTGGGCTCGTCTTGAATATTTTATTTAATTATTAATGGTGTCCTCTTTCTTGTAGGCTCTTCATCTTAGGGCGTGCTTGGTTTCTACAAGAGGATTGCCTCACTTTGCTCAGGTCAGGTTGGCACAAAAACTTGCCCAACCAAGTGAGCAAATTTGGCTCTCTCAGCTGGGCAAGGCAAAAATTGGTTGCACAGACTTCGAGGTCTATAGGCAGGACATCCAAACAAGCCAACCAGCTTCCTATCCTCGCTTGGCGAGGCAATATAGTGATCAGCAAGAGATCCAAGCAGCCCCTTACATTCCATTCTATTCGTGAAGCTTTTGTTAAGACCACATCTCCGGTCAATTCTGTCTCTCTTTCTCAGCTCCAACAAACAATTGTTCGCATTCACGATAAACACGCACTATCACAGAAACGTTATCACCGCTGATTCAGAATCCTCCATTATCATCGAATTTTGCTTCAAAGGTGAAATGTCAGCAGTGACAGCCATGATTTCTAAGTAGAAAGAAATAATTTATGGGCATTTTCAATAACATTCATTTATTCAGATCCCTACAAACCAATTATCAAAATAATCAAGTACTCTTTAGAGCCCATTTGGTAGGGCTCCGGCTCCTCTAAAAGAGATTTGGCTCTGGCTTCTCATGTGGTGCAACTTCTATGGTGGAGCTAAAGCCATTTTGAAAAGCATTTGGTAAAAACGGCTTCAATGATAGTTTTTAATAATTTATATTAGGTTTGTGAGAATGAGACATGAGAAGCTTTTTTTTTTTTTTTTGCTCAGGCTCCTTTATACCCAAAAAAGAATAGTTTTGGCTCCTTCGGGCTCCTTGCGAGGAGCCATTTTTTATGGGTGTTTGGCAGGGCTCCTTGCAAGGAGCCACGAGAAATCGGAGCCGAAGTCCTGTTAAATATGGCCTTAATCTTAACAATATTTATTTTCAAATCAATACGGAGCGGTTTTTATGTAGCAAATATATTCCTCACAAGTCTCTGATATAAGTTGGGGGTCTTATTCAATTTCTCTAAAAAAATCTCACTCTAGATTAGTTTTGAACACCAACTGGTTTTGAACACCAACTTGTAATTCGTTATCACTGCCGGTTGACTAAGAACCCCGATAGTGATGCTATTTTTTCTTCATAACCGATTGCCGATTTGAAAATAAACCGCAGTGATATAGCTACCCGTAATGGTCATTTCTGTAGCAGTGGACGCTCCAGGCTCTTCAAACTGCTTTTACCCCAAAACACCTATAAGTTCCCACCCCTTTGGTTGTCTTTTGACTTTTTGGAAGCCAAAGCAGGGGACCCAACCAAAACCGAGTTTGAGTACAATCACTGCAGCTATGCTCTAATAATTAAAGAATCCAGAATTATACTATCCGTGTGTCTATACATAAATTCTGTAGGTATTTACATGGTGCTTCTTAGATGTTTGCTGAAGCTTCATGTGCTTCAGCACTTCAGCAAAAGGCCTCCTATGTACCCCCCCTGGGCCTGCTATATTGCGTTCTTTTTCTTTGACCGCAACGTGAAGAGTTGGTCTCTGTATTGAGCTGGAAAAAAATTAATAGGAGGAAGGAGATCAGTCGATTAGAAGGATTACTCAAAGTAAAACTGAAAAAAAAAATCTTTAACATTGCAGTTGTGCAAGTCAACAGGAGCTCACCAGCATCTTTGTAGCGTTCTTCTACTGCAGCGATGAGCATATTCCGGACCAAATCAAACTCTTGGGCCTCACTGCAATGTTGGTCATCAGGTCTGCAAAATGAAATGGTAGCAGTTGCAGATTTAAGAAGACACTTATCCATACAGGAATATATAAAAAAACAGTTGTATGTCTACCTGTCAAGCCTTGTGATTTGAATGTCGTCGGAGCCTACATAACTATCAGCCGTCTTTGGTTGTACGACTTTCAATCCATTGTTATATGCGATACGCCTGTTAACTTGTATAGGGACCTATGGATGAACCACCAAATTGGAATAAGTACCACACCCAGTGAGCAATAGAACAACTTATAGAATTTGTCTGCATATATTATACTAGTGCATCAACTCGTGTAGGACATGAGTTAGAATCTTAGAAGATATAAGTATTATATGTTACTGTTTAATACCTATGACTAATAAAAATCACTTATATTAATTTACATGTTTTTTGTTTGTTCATTTTCTAACACAATCGGCAAAATATATACTCTTTAGTCACTGTCCAGTTGTGACAAACTTCTCAACTATTGTTTTATATGTTTTTTCATTTATATCCAGGATCTTTATCCTTTGCAAGACACCTTTATGTATTTTGAATATGCATGTAGTTGAAACCTTAACTTAAAATATGGTGTCTCTTGACCTTGTCGCAACCTGTGTCTTTTGATGCCATGAATCTAGATTTTGATTTTCAAATTTAATCTAATTAGTTGCTATAGATTTTTTATCCTCAAGTTAAGCTGAAACTCCTTTTTATCAACTCTCCTTTTGTTTCTTTTGTTTTTTCTTGAAAACAAGAATTTAGGTCGTAGACTGCACTCTAAGTACTAGATGGCATAACGGTTATTTATGATCTGCACCACGTCGCTTAAGATCTGTAATAGAGCTTCAAGTAAGATCTAAGATGGGAGTAGTGGTGCTAACCTCAAGAGAATATTAATATTTAAACCTCATAATCACTGTTTACTCAAAAAAAATCTCTAGCGCATATGGTGAGAATTAATGGGGGAGACTCCATATCATTGTATTGGGGTCATATTATCCACAAACAGCAAGGTTTATAGCATCAAAATCAGAATAGAACGGGGAGGTTGCTTTGCTGACCAATCAAAGGAATCATGTTGCTTTGATCTTACAATTGAATGGTTTATAGTTTATACTCATATGAAATATATATAAATTTATATGGTCACTATGCCAAAAAGATACAAGGTACACCTTCAGTATCAGCAATAGCTTTTAGTCCACACAAACATCGCCAGCAGGTACTGAAAATGAAAAGTGCAAGAAGCAAATGCGTACATACCTTGCAACGGAAAGCAATGTTGATAGCATCCGATGGCCTGAGGTCAAAACTAATAGTGTCTTGCTCATTCCCAATCTGGCGTCATGTTGCAATGCTTTTTTTTCAGACGAATGCATTAAAAAGGACTTTTTATGTGATCTAATTTACTTGGGAGTGCAGTTACCTTTGCAAGATATAGTCGAGAATAGTATGCGTCATGGACCATTTCTGTAATCCGCACCAAACGCACCTGAAAAGCAGAGTACCTAGCATAAGTGATCGGTGAGACAGCATAGCCATATACCATATCCAGCCGAAATCCTGCCTGTTAGATTAAATGAATGGCACATGTTTGACAGAATAGGCATGTGTTTGTGCAGGTGCGTGACTCAAAAATAGTAAATTCAAAAGCAGTAATGTGCACGAAAAGTTCATTGAACACCTCTTTTTTGGAATACCCAATTCACCCAGAAAAAAACAGAGTACCCAAACCCAATTGTGATAATTATTTTTTCTCAAACACACCTCATATCCCATCCTTGCAGTCATCTCCAATACGACATTGTAGATAGTTGGCCTTGGCTGGAAAGACATAACAATGTCAGTAGTGCAGTTTATGAGCTCTTATAGTCTTATGAGCACCTACGTGCAGAAGTTTGTGCAGTAACTAAATCCAACTCTTACAATTCGGATGTTCCGAAGCGCAGCCAGCAACATAATGCTTGGCGTCTCCACTGGTGAGGAGGGATAGGAAGGTAGCATGTGCATGCAACAAGATTAATTAGAAATAAAGCATCCGCAACAGCAATTTTAATGACGTCAATGAGCAGCAAGCAGGGAACTGGTACATACTGACGATGATGGGGAGCAGAAGGTCGCTGCCGTCTTCCATCTTGAGCACAATCGCGTGGTGCGGCGCGGAGTCCCGGAGCCTGAGCACCCGAGGGTTGTTCTGCACGCATCTCAGGTTCTTGCCGTCGCGCATCTTGATGACGAAACCGCCGTCCGACACGCTCCTGAGCTCAACTGCAAGCAAGCAAGCACGGATTTTTTGAGCACCAGAGACAAGCAATGGACGTGCTGTGCTCCTAATAATGCTGAAATAAAAGAGATGGATGGATACCAACCGGCCTCCATGACGCTGGAGTCGACGAACTCCTCCCCGCTGGCGTCGAAGTCCGCGGCGGCGGCGCCGTCGCCGTCGGAGGAGGAGCCGCCGAGGGTGCAGCGAGCCGGCCGGCAGCCGATGGTCCTCCCGTGCCGCGGCGTCGGCGGGGAGAAGAACCTGCGCGCCACGCCGGCGCGGGTCGTCGTCGCTTGCAGCAGCCCGGCGCCTCCGCTTCCTCTGACGCGCACGCGCCGGAGCAGCTGGAGGTGGCCGCTGACCCTCGCGTCGGCGACGGAGGCCGCCGCAGCGGCGCCCGTGGCGGGGGCGGCGTGGTAGCGCGGGAGCACGGCGCCGTTGATGATGTCCATCGTCGTCGTCGTCGTCCCTCGGACCGGAATCTAGTTTAGCCCGAGAGAGAGTGATCTGAGTAGCTGTGGACGGACGCCGCCGCGGCGCGGGGAGAGTGATCAGAGCATGGTGCAGGGGTGCTTGTTGACCGCAGGTCAGTGGTTGCAACGCTGTGCTCAGAACCTCACATGTAGTAGTAGTAGACTTATCCAAAAACCCAGGAGATATTTTCTTCAACGGACGGCATGCATAAAAGGGGATAGATCGGAGGTATTTCAGTCTTACTTTTTGTGATTTTAACGAGCAGTGAATGAAACAAGAGATATCTCATGCATCACCACCCGTAGAGAGAAGAGATGAGGTCTGTAGTCTGTACTGCATACGAGATGGAAAGACAAAACTGAGCGGTCGTACATGGCTCTGGATAGTCAGACGAAGCGAAAAGGAGGAGATACCTCTTGTCAGCTGTCACCTTCATCGCCGATGAGCCGACTGCGACTTCAACGTAAGCCAAATTATGTAAGTGTTTTCCTCTCGTAATATTTCAGCAAAGACGAGATTTCAGCGTAAGCGGACAGGGTGTTGGATCCAACCTGGAGGCCGGCCGTCTGCTGATGCAATACAAACCCCGCAAAGACATTGTCACAAACAGGCTGTGGGCACGCCCACGCTCCATGTCGCCCTGGCACCGGAACGGCAGGCATTGCTGCGCCGATCCTGCCGTGCGCTGCGCACGAACCACAGAAGAACAACGCGCCCAACACCAGCTTGATCCAAAGTTTTCCTCAATCGGTCCCCCGCCGGACATGCCGAGCCCAGGAGGTCCAGATAGCGTGCCGCCGGACATGAAGATGAGCTGAAACGGGGAGCGCGCCAAGGGAGCACGCACGCACACGTCGGTCTTGCCGCCTTGACCGCGATCCGGCGATCGCCCACGAGGCCACGACGCCCCAAGTCTATCCGCGTCCAGCCTGACCGGCGGGTCGAGCCCCGCCCCGGCCCCCGGGCCGGAAGAAAATCTAGTGCAGACAGGATGCACGTGGTAGTCGTGCATACATACGTTGGATCGCTGCCGCGTGGACGTCGGGCCACCGGCTGCACAGCACGCGTGGACCAACTGCCGTCGTTTTGCTTGGACACGCACACGCGGATGCCGCCACGTGAACAGTCGGGCCTTGTCATCGTCCTGCACCACTAGTCCTGTTGGGCCTACTAGTTGCGGCCTAGTAGCACAGGAGAGAAAAGGTCCTTTTTTCTTTTTACCTTTGCCTCTCACCTGCTCCCTTCATTACAAATTTCAAATTTCAAATTATAAGTATAGATCTATAAAGGTGGTGTTTGGATCACTAGTCCAAGGACTAAAGTTTAGTGGCACTTTAGTTCTGCTGGGCTGTTTGAATCCATAGGCTAAACTTTAGTCCTCTAATCTACAATGACTGATTTGCCATCATTTAATTATCCATGCATAGCCATGCATGCGAGTGTGGGTATGGGATGTCCAGCGCCCGCCCCGAGAGAGTCTAGCCCAGTTTAGTGTCTCTTTGGGAGCAAAAGATTTTAGCCCAGTTTTTAGCTATTTGCTCACTTTTAGCCCCATGTTTGGATCCTCGTGGTAAAAAAAAGGGGCTAAAAGTGCAGTGCTAAAGTTTTGCCATAGAGATCCTAAACAGGCCATAATAAAATTGATGTATCATAAAATCAAAACGACTTATAATTTACGACGGAGAGAGCGTATCAATTTATCATCGTACTCAGGATGAGTATGGACTAAGTTATATCCAAGAGATCAGAGACAGTGACAAAACTTTCCTCGTTTCATTCTCCTTATACGAAGGTAGAGGGTCGAATGGCGATGCTCGTATCCTAGCGAGGAGTTCTTTGTAGAAGAATACAGGGCGTCATGTTTGGCTTCTTAGCCCGCCCGATTGTATTTGTATCAACTTTGCTTCTGTGTAGTACATGCAAGCTTTGTTTCCTAAACAAGGAAAGCTATCATCGTAGTGATCCTAAAAAATATGTATCATCGTAGTCTATATTTCCTCTCTAAATTCTAACAAATTATCTTTCTCAGCCTTTAATACCTCCTTGCCTCTCTGCTTACACTAGAGGTGGTTTCATCAAATTTTAAATAAAATAAAACATGTAAAAACCCGACAAGGCTTTTAAACCAAAAAATATGCCTCTAAAATTCTGAAGAAACATTGAGATAGTTTGGACATGAGAAACACAGAGAAAAATATTTAGAGGCCATGAACATATATCTATCTAGACGCTTCCAAAAACTAGATTTAACTATAAGAAAACAGGGGAAAAATCAAGAAAATCTGAAAAGTTTCTCAAAACGTTGTAACAGATGTCCAAACGCGTTTTTGCAAACTTTCCCTGACAAAATCACAAGGTGAAACTAGCAAACACACATACATTCAACATCAATTATGGGGGTGTTTGGGATGGCTCCGTTCCCGTTGTTGCAGCTCCGCTCCACCAACTCTACCAGGGAGCGACTCCACCGTGGAGTTCGTAGAGCAGGTGGTATTGTTTGGCACACAACCTAGCTCCAGCTCCAGAAATGGGTTGTTTGCTTGCAAATGGTCTATTATGCCCCTAATTTATGTTTGTTTATTCCAGTAGTACTCAGCACATGCATTAGTGTTTACTATTGTTCATTTAAGGGTTTTTTCTCTTTTATTTTCCTATTGAAAATAAAGACTTGAATAATAAAAAAATGATAAGAATATTGACCGTGCCACTCAAGGCCCAAAGCCGAGCAGCCCAGCCGGCCAATTCCCTTTGCTGGAGCACACATGGGAGAGGGCACATGTTGCGATGGCATACACGTAAGTTGCAAGAGTTTGTTTAAAATGTTTCATCTGTTTCAGACGTATGTTGCAATAGTTTTATCTAAATGTTGCAAAAGTATATCTGGATGTTGCATATACATGCATGTTGCAAGCGTATGTTTCAAATGTTTCAAGTGTTTTATATGTATGTTGCAAGTGTTTCAACTGTTTCGAACGTATGTTGCAAGTGTTCGTCTCGATGTTGAAAAAAGTAGATCTGGTGTTCCACGTGTTGTAATGGGACCCATCCGCCGCAGCCGCCCGCCTTAGCTGCTGGGGCGCAACCATGGGTCACCGTGCGGGTGTCTGAGGCTGGCAAATGCATCCGCGACGCGCATTCATAGGCGAAGGAGGTGACTGGGACCCACGTGGAGTTCCCACGTGCAGGCGCGGGCGCGCGGCGGTCAAGCGAAGCAGAGCGAGGGCGATGGTAGGGCGGGAAGTAGCGTGGGGTCCACGTAGTGGGGCACACGAAAACCGGCAGCGCGGGCTCCACTTTTTACGCGCGCGGGCATCCGCTTCTACAAATGCTTTGTTTCTAGGTAACCTTGTGTAGGGAGAGTACGGTATCTCATTCCTCCCACATAAAATGTTTTGGAGAAATCATTTATACGGGAGGTTGATCTTATGGTCTGTCCTTAGACGGTTTCGCACCTCTGCTTCATTTCTTGATTGATGTTCCTGCATAGATGTGGTTGCGAATTCCTCTGTAGAAGTTGTTTTTGACCGCGGCTAAACATTGCGACGTCTATATAGTAGTGCAAATCGTGAACGCTAAAACCATATAACATGAACCGGCATCTGGCACCGAAGAGTGTACTTATACAAATGTATATATTCGCTAGTTCAGAACAAAGAACCTTGTGCTAGTTCTTTGACATCTGACATCTCTCTTCTAACTTCGCGCTCACAAAACCCACAATTAAAGTCAGAATTTGCTTCGCCAATCAAGAACCGAAAAAAGTCAGCACACGGCAGATCCGGCGATGTGTATGTAGATCACTGACACAGCAACACGTCTCCGATTTAGCCTGCAGTGATGCTGTTTTTTCTAGTAGTAGTGCAAATGGTGATGCTGTAACAGGCTGATGCATGCAAATTGCAAGTAGGAGTCCACTGCTGACAAAAACATGCCACTAGTAGCTTTGTTGATGGTAAACAAACATGCTGCTACGTACTGCAGTCAGAAGTAACCACTACACAAGCAGGCTCATTGGCCAGCAGGGAAAAGGCATCTCGCTTTTCACCGACCAGGGATTAGCAGGAACTATAGGAAGATGCTGTCACTGCACGCTGAAATACGGAAGCCGTTGAACTCATCGATCGGGGGACTAAATTAAATAAACTACTGAATTATTACTACCTTAATTTACCACTGCAGACAACATGCATGGCGCTGTCTGTTCATTCGTAGGCCCCGTTTGGACAGCTTTTACCGGCTCCGGCTTATCTGACAACAACACTGTAGCAATACTGTAGCACGAAGCCAGTTTTTCTCTCTCTTCCTCTCCCTCTCTCACCGACGCGCGCACTATTCATCAGAGCCGGAGAAGCCGGTTTTTTTGGCTTCCCCCGCGCATGCTACAAAGCAGCATGAAGCCCGTGTTGGTGTCAGATAAGCCGGAGCCGGTGTAAACCGTGCCAAACGGGGCCGTATACTATAAACAAAACAAACAGGTTTCAAACCCCTCGATCGCTCCCAGTTTCTTCAACCGGACGCTCACGCCATCTCCAGACGGACCTCGAGGCTGAAGAATCTGCTGGGGGCAGCTGCAGTGCAGCCATTCCGAGGCCGCGTTGCGTTGCGCCGGAATTTTCCAGCGACACCGTAGCGCACTGTATTATTTCGTTTGTATTTAGTAATAATTGTTCAATCGTTGACTAATTAGGCTCAAAACGTTCGTCTCGCAAAGTCCAACCAAATTGTGCAATTAGTTTTTGATTTCGTCAACATTTAGTACTCTATGCATGTACCGCAAATTTGATATGACGGAAAATCTTTTTTTTATATAGTACCAAAATTAGGAGTTGGGGAACTAAACATGGCCCGAGACGACAGGTAACGAGCGAGAGCGACCCAGCAAGGGCTTGCATGGCGGACACGGACTTGTGAGCGAGCGCAGGCCAACAAGATATGCTGTGACTGTGACTGTACTTATGTACTGCTCCGTAGGCGGCGA